CCATTCCAGCTTTATCCTCCACAGCTTTAATTATCATCATAACCGTTAGTTGTTCTGGGTTTTTCACATTCATTGTCAGCGTAGTTTCCTTTTTGTATTCTCTCTGATATCTCATTCTTCCTCTCAATTTATTTATCATATCTTCTTTTTGATTGTATTCTTTTCTCTTTTCACCATCATCTTTTTCTTTACCTTGTATCTTCTGTTGTTCAATCCTTCCTTTGACCATTTCAACTCCACTTCTCTTCTTTCGCGAAACCACAGATGCCCATGTTTCATTGTCAACTTTATCTTTTCCATTCTCTTTTTCCTTGTTTCCTTCAGTATAATCATTGTCTTCAGTCTCTTGGTCTAATATCCGTTCCTGTTCCATAGCTGTAGTATCTGTCATTTTGAAGAAAAAAAATAAAACCTCAGACAGGAAAACAACCTGTCTGAGGTTTAAACAAAACAAAATAAATATTGAAAACCAATAACTTAAATAGTTATCCAAAAAAATAACAATAAAGTAAACCAAACAATAGGAGAGCCTTTCTCTCCAAATTGCCACCTCACACTTCCTGTGTTACACCAGAAGGGGCGTTCTCAAGGTGGTATGGCCGTAAGTGAAATCTGCTGCCAAAATTGGGCTATTTGAATGGTTAGAACATTAGGGTAGTAAACTATATAAAGCTTACTAGGTCTCCCATCCAACAATAAAGCTTACAGCACCTGGTATTCCCAGGCGGTCTCCCATCCAAGTACTAACCAGGCCCAACCCTGCTTAGCTTCCGAGATCAGACGAGTTCAGGCGTTCTTTTTTTATTTTTATTAAGAAGTTTCAATCAATAAAATACAATAAAAAATACAATAATGTACACTAAAAAATACAGATTTTCCAAACATCATGTGAACAAACATCTCTACATTACATATCTTTAACTTTTGTACATTTAAAAGACTTCTTCTCCCGGCAGCTTCCACATTAGATCCTTTAAACGTTCAAAATATTCAAATATTAGTTAATATTAAACAGCAAAGAAGAGCGGAGAGCAAAGAAGCAACAGGTTGAGCGCAGCCATATCAGAGCCACATTATCACTCGCATTACGGGTTAAACAGAACATTGGTATTGAAGATCTACGATGGAGGAACTAAAGCAGGTGCTGGAGGAACGTATTAACCGCCTAGAAGATCTAATCAACAGAGTGCTCCTCCGCTCGGATAATGGGTCCTGTCTAGTAAGCGTGCCAACAAATGCTAATGCTAATATAGCAAAACACGCTACCGTAAGACTAGAAAGCCCAATAAAACTGCTGAATAAATCTGAACTATTTCAGAGCGAACGGATGAATGAGTCGAGAACGCAGATCGAAATTCGAGAAAGCGAACAATTTATTGACTCTGTGGCAGCTAATCTAGGGCTCGAGCCACTAGATAGCAACGGACACACCCAGGTTGATATACAGGAGCTTACCGGTGCTCCAAGTCTGGACCACTCTGTCGCGGACTTGATCGACGGTCTTCCTAGGACGTGTGTTGATGCCACTGGTTTGGCTGGGGAGCCTTTCGGGTCGGCCTTCCCCGGTGGCTCGTCCTGTTGGTACAGGAACGGGGCTAGACCGAAGGCGTCAACTCCAGCGGGGACCTGGTCTTATGTTGTGCGACGCAGGGGGAAGTCAAACGGGAAATCAAGAATGAGAGCGCCTGTCTTCAGATCACCGCCTGAACTCGTGCTACAAAATAGGTACGAACCCCTGACTCAGAATGCAATGTCTGTAAATGTACCTAGGGATGCAAATTACAGCCCTCGTTTTAGGGGCACACAAAATCTAATAAATGGCACCAAAATTACTGATATTAGTATGGGCAAAAGAAGAAACTCTGCTAACCTTACGACTGATAAACTAGATACGATCTTGATTGGGGATGCTATAACCAAATATATCAGAATGGCAAAGACTGAAAATCTGACAATGCCTGATATATCGGTTCAAGAGCTAACTGAATTGTTACCAACTGTCCTTTCCACATATCCAACCACCATGCGGGTTATTATCCACATTGGGTCTTGTGACATTCTACGTAGGAAAACTGGATCTGAGATCCTAAAAAAGGATTTCTCTAAGCTATTGAAGAAAATAGAAAATCTTCAACAAGAAGTCTCTATCTCAGGCCCCATTCCAACTTTGGGAAAAGGAAGTGAATCTTTTAGCAGACTCCTCGGTCTGAATACGTGGCTGACATCGGCTTGTCTCGACCATGGGATAAAGTTCATTGACAATTTTAATGTTTTCTGGAATTGTAAGGACCGTTTTAGATCAGATGGGGTACACCCAAATGTCATGGGGTGCCGTTTGCTTGGTGCTAATATACATCACGATGCTGGGATGCCTCTCTCAAACAAGACAAGTAAGAAGCACAGTATTCATAGGCAGAGCATCCATTCATTTATCCCAGCTTCTCCAGTTACAATCAGTCGATGCTCTCAGGAGTTGTCTTTGGCCAAAAAAGGGGCACAACACCACACACCTCTTTTATTACCATCTCTACCACATCCACATCCTCCGCAATTATATCCACCCTCCTCTCCTTCATTGCATTCACCTATTAGGGAGTTAGTTTTAACCAAAGAGAGCAGAGTTCAATCTTCTCCCTGTCCCACCCTGCCCCGGTATACTAAACGAGCACTTAGACAATTGCCGCATCGTCAAACATCCTGTCCATTGACTACACAGAGCACAAAAAAACACTAAGTGACATGTTCCGGGTCCTTGTCATTGTGGAAATAACTATGCTGCCTGTGTTGAGTATAAGCTAGGACCCGGTCTCTCTATTCCTGTGATGATTGGAAATAGAAGAAATTATGATGACCGTGTAATTAACAAAAGAAATCTGTCTAATCTGTCAACTGTACTATGTCAACCAATTAGCTTAGGATCCCCTATTATATCTTTTAAATTGGCCTTACTTAATATTAGATCCCTTGCCAAAAAATCATTTCTAGTAAATGATATTATATCATCTTATAACCTAGATTTTATGTTTCTCACTGAAACGTGGCTCACAGAAAACTGTAGTGCAACTATCCTTAATGAAACAGCTCCTGAAAAATTTGTATATATGACAACATGTCGAAACGGTAGGAAAGGAGGAGGGGTGGCCGCCTTATTTAGAGATACATATCAGTGTAAATGTAGCGAGTGGGGTGTGTTCCATGAGAATTGCGCTTGATTGAATCAGGTGGGGGTTGTTTGGCGCTACACCTTTAAATCCAGCAAGCTGGCGTTTTTCTGATTTTGTGCTGTCACAGACTGTTGCTTCCTTGGGCTCTTGGCTGAGTGTACGAGTTGACGTGAGTTCATGTTTAAATGTATTGTGAGATCAAACCTCGTTGGCATATGTGATTTTGATTCAGACGATTACATTGTTTCATAGCCTCATCTGGTGTTTGTGCGATTACCCAGTGCCGTGGGTGCTGCTAGTGTCCTGTCTTTGCGAGCCCTCATCGGCTGCGATTTGTGTTGGCGTGCTTCAACGAGGACGTAAGTCTCTTGTTTTTATTGAGCAGCGTTTGTCTCTCTGTTTTTTAGGTACTTGCTGTAATGAGCTTTTATTGATTTAATGTTTTGTTTATTAGTTCCGGGTTTAGAGTGATAACTACACAGTAAATTCCCTGGTGTTAAATTAACACCGCTCGGTGTTTATATGGGAACCACCAGCAGGGTGTTAAAAGTAACACTGAGGCAGTGTTAGAGTTAATGAGATAATTAAGTGATTAATTGAGTGATGATTGAGCATTATTGAAGACACCTAAAGCAGAATTACAAGGAGAAAACCTAACTTTTAGGTCACCGTTATGGAGGTGAGTGTTTGCTTTAGTTGGGCTCTTGACCCTTTTATTATTAACTTTACATTTGAATTGGCTGTTGCATCTGAGTTATACCTGCCAGATGAACAAAGAGACAATTTATATGATGGTGTTGGTCATATTATGACATTCATTTGAAATATATGATCGTGGTTAATTTTGTTGGTCACAACATAACTGAGATTGTACATAAATAGCCAGAATGTCAGATATAATATAATGGATTTCTACAAGTTGTTAAAAAAAAAACTTCTTATAGGCACACATAAACCTCAAAATTCAGTCAATGCTTCTCAACAATGGTGACGAGCAGAATATTCAATTAGGAAAAGTAAATTACATAGACAATTCAGATCATAATTTATTCATACCGCAATGCATGATGGGAGCCATTAATGAGTTGTGATTGGTGGAAACAAGGATTATTAATGTCACCATGGTTGAGATACACAGGCTGACTATTTATGTCTGTGTTTCTAAATAAAGATGAAAGTGATTTGATCAGAATAGTTGTTATTAAATATTTTCGGTTAAAAGAAAAATACAGATATGCTGCACAATCACTAAACTGTTACTAACAAGTTAAGCCAATTCATCTGAAAAGTTAGATTTTTCAGATCACAGCATGATTATGTGAAAACATAACCAACAATATCAGATCACAGTTTTCTTTGTTCATTTGACTGTTATAAATTAATAAAAGCAGACAAACAAAGTTAAAGTGAAAGTATAAGTGTCAAGAGCCCAACTAAAGCAAACACTGATCTCCATAACGGTGACTTACAATTTGTGATTTTGTCCTTCAGTGATTCTGCTTGTTAACATCAGGTGTCTTCAATAATGCTCAATCATCACTCAATTATTCGCTTAATTATCTCATTAACTTTAACACTGTATCAGTGTTACTTTTAACACCCTGCTGGTGGTTCCCATATAAACACCGAGCGGTGTTAAATTTAACACCGGGGAATTTACTGTGTACAAGTTTGCCGAGTGCGTTTGTTGTGCTGAGAACGTAAGTTTATTGGCTTCCTTTCTCCCTCACGTTTTTTACATCTTCATGGAACGTTTATGTATGTAGTTCTGTTGATTTGCAATGTTTCTTTATTATAGTTTGGTTTGGGAATGTTCAAGTAAAAACCAGACGGAGCAAAGTGACTGCTACAGTATTATAAATAACCAAGCTTTTGGCTTGATGCTGTGGTCTGTTCATACAGGTTAGTGTTTTAGGCTACTTTAGCCTCTTGCCCCGCTCTGATTGTTCAGCTTAACTTTTTACATCTTAAGTAATTCCCAGCCCATTGGTGTACAGGTTACAAATTAGGCATAGTTGTGATGCCGACCTGTATAATTATGTAACATTGTAATTGTTCTTTGCAGGAGGAGCGACATATGCTGTCCTGGCCACTGTTTTTCCTGTGCTCTTGTTTTTAGGATTCAGCTCCGTGTGTGTGTGTGTGTGTGTGTGTGTGTACGTGTACGTGGGGAAGAACCGTGTATTGGGTTGCCTATGAGCCTCCCCCTGGTGTGTTGATGTATGTTGTGTGTTATGTAATGTGTGTATTTTAGGCCATTGGGTTGGTGCAATATCCTGGGTAGGGGGGGGATAACAATTTTGTTGTGTGGCCACTGGTTTGTCTAGTGTGAATTATTTTCTTTTTGGTTATATTTGTGCATGTGATTTTGTGACGTGCCTTATCAATTTTGAGTTTGTTGTATTTTGTTTTTGAGTTATTTGAACACTTTGATTTTGGATTTTGTTGTCCCTGACTCTGTTGCCCAGAGGCCTAATGTCCTTTGAATACTGTTTCATGTTGTGAGTCCATTGAGCCAAAGAAAAGGGGAAATAAATAAATTTTCTATTTTTATAATACTCCAGTCTCTCTCTCTCTCTCTTTGTATTTCCCTTTATTGGGATAGCCTGCTGGTAAACATTTGAAATTCTTACGGTCGCTTAGCCATGATTATTTGGTTCCAATAGACCCCCCCTGAGGTTACATAAAGAAAATAAATTAGGCCATTTTACTTCATTTGAATATTTGTGTTTTATATTAAAGGGTACTCCCAAAATTTTGTTTTTAACGATTTATAGACCGCCGAAATACTCTGTTGACTTCTTTGAAGACTTTGCTGAACTACTCTCTGTTATATCGGTTGATTTTAAGTTGTTTATCATTACAGGGGATTTTAATATTCATATAGATAATAGTTCAGATAATAAGGTTAAAGAACTTTTTGCACTCTTAGACACTTTTGATCTTACTCAACATGTGAAAGAGCGTACACATACTCATGGTCATATTTTAGATCTGGTTATTTCTAAAGGTCTTGATATTCCATCTGTTATGGTTAAGGATTTAGCCCTATCTGATCATTTTTGTGTCTTTTTTGAAATTTTAATTACTTTGAACTTGCCAGTGAACTCCGTTTCTATTAAGAAGAGATACATTAATGAGAAAACTAATGTTCAGTTTACAGAAGCTATAGCCAGGCTCCCAATTAAAAGTGCTGACTCAGTTGATGCACTTCTGGATAATTTTAATACTAAAATATTGAATGTTATCGATCATATTGCACCGGCAAAAGTAAAGAGAAATATTAGCAAACAGAAGTCACCATGGAGAACCACCATGCCGGTAAATGCCCTTAAAAGAGAATGTAGGAAAGCAGAACGGAAGTGGCGGAAAACTAAACTACATATCCATTATGACATCTACACAGCAAAAACTCCAGTGTTAAATTAACTCTCCTGCACAGTAAATTCCCCGGTGTTAAATTTAACACCGCTCGGTGTTTATATGGGAACCACCAGCAGGGTGTTAAAAGTAACACTGATACAGTGTTAAAGTTAATGAGATAATTAAGTGAATAATTGAGTGATGATTGAGCATTATTGAAGACACCTGATGTTAACAAGCAGAATCACTGAAGGACAAAATCACAAATTGTAAGCCACCATTATGGAGATCAGTGTTTGCTTTAGTTGGGCTCTTGACACTTATACTTTCACTTTAACTTTGTTTGTCTGCTTTTATTAATTTATAACAGTCAAATGAACAAAGAAAACTGTGATCTGATATTGTTGGTTATGTTTTCACATAATCATGCTGTGATCTGAAAAATCTAACTTTTCAGATGAATTGGCTTAACTTGTTAGTAACAGTTTAGTGATTGTGCAGCATATCCGTATTTTTCTTTTAACCGAAAATATTTAATAACAACTATTCTGATCAAATCACTTTCATCTTTATTTAGAAACACAGACATAAATAGTCAGCCTGTGTATCTCAACCATGGTAACATTAATAATCCTTGTTTCCACCAATCACAACTCATTAATGGCTCCCATCATGCATTGCGGTATGAATAAATTATGATCTGAATTGTCTATGTAATTTACTTTTCCTAATTGAATATTCTGCTCGTCACCATTGTTGAGAAGCATTGACTGAATTTTGAGGTTTATGTGTGCCTATAAGAAGTTTTTTTTTTAACAACTTGTAGAAATCCATTATATTATATCTGACATTCTGGATATTTATGTACAATCTCAGTTATGTTGTGACCTACAAAATTAACCACGAACATATATTTCAAATGAATGTCATAATATGACCAACACCATCATATAAATTGTCTCTTTGTTCATCTGGCAGGTATAACTCAGATGCAACAGCCAATTCAAATGTAAAGTTAATAATAAAAGGGTCAAGAGCCCAACTAAAGCAAACACTCACCTCCATAACGGTGACCTGAAAGTTAGGTTTTCTCCTTGTAATTCTGCTTTAGGTGTCTTCAATAATGCTCAATCATCACTCAATTAATCACTTAATTATCTTATTAACTCTAACACTGCCTCAGTGTTACTTTTAACACCCTGCTGGTGGTTCCCATATAAACACCGAGCGGTGTTAATTTAACACCAGGGAATTTACTGTGTGGGAGTTTATTTGACTCCAGACTCAAGAGTGTTAAAGTGTTAAAATATGAGTGTTAAATTAACACTCAAGAGTGTTAAAGTTAATGAGCTAATTAAGTGATTAATTTAGTGATAATTGACCATCATTGAAGACACCTGATGATCACAGGCAGAATCGCTGAAGAAGAAAAATCTCATTTTCGAAGTCACCATAATGGTGATCATTATTTGCTTAGAGAAAAGGTGATCAGGTGCTGCTGATTATGGTTTGACATAACTCACTAAGCAAAATGATGTCCAAAAGATGTTTTTCAATGTCTTTGTCACAAAAGGCAGAGTTTGAAAAGACTTCCACTAAGGGGCCAGAATGAAAGTTTTTATGACGTCTTTTTTTGACGTGTTCTGGACATCTGAAAAAGACGTTAATGGACCCTTCGTGCAAGGTTAAAAACTAGTTCAAATGTGGCCATTCTCAACATTATTTATGGTCTATACTGGTTTATACTGTTTCTGGACCAAATAAAAACTCTCAGGATGCATTAAATTAGAACTTATGTTTATTTTTTTTCCTTACATTGTTTAGATGGTGATATTTATTTCATTTTGAGTCACCATTGTGGTGATCAGTGTTTGCTTTAGTTGGGCTCTTGGTCCCAATAATTAGTATTCTAGCTTTTCTTTGGCTGTTGTAACTGTGTGTGTTTGAATAACACCATTGTTGTGACAGAGAAAGCCAAGAAAATTGGCTCTCATCAGCTACTTGTCGGATGTTGACGATGATGATGATGAAATCAATATAAAGTGGGCATTTAACGTTGTGTTTAGACTTTTGTGTTTGTATCTGGAGTTTATAACCACCAATCTTGTGGAACTGCATTATTTGGCCTAGTAGTTGGACAAAAAGCAAATTTACACAATGTTTTGAGAAAATGTTCCATCTAGTCACACACAGACATCAAGATTTTGCATATGATTCACAAAAATGGTGACAATAAATAAAAAAATGCTTCATGCCGCAATGCATGATGGGTAGCTTTCATAGTACAAAACATCCTCGATTCCCAGGCTTTTTTTGTTTTGGTTGTCACCGTCGTTGAGAATCATATGCAAAATCTTGATATCTGTGTGTGACTATGTGTTTCAATTTCTTAAAACATATTGTATGCAGTGGTCATTATAAAGTTACTGGTCCAAATAATGCAGTTCTACGAGATGAATAATTATACATTTCAGATATAAAAACATAAGTTTAGATGATTTTGTCATCATCAGCAAGCATCTGAAGACATCTAATTTTTAATTTTCTTGGCTTTCTCTGCACAATCAATGGTGTTATGCAAACAGTTACAACAGCCAAAGAAAAGCTAAAGTAAGAAGAATTGGGACCAAGACTGGAACAAACTACCAGAAGATATTAGATGTGCCCCGAATGTATTGATTTTTAAATCTAAGTTGAAAACTTTTCTTTTCTCACAAGCTTATGACTGAGATCTTAAAATTAGCTATACTGTGTAGTTTTAAATTTGTCTATTTATTTTTTATTAAATCTTTATTATCTTTTTTTTGCATGTTTTGTATCTGGTATTTTTTCATGATGTTTTTACTTTCTGTAAAGCACATTGAAGTACTTTGATGGAGTGAATTGTGCTATATAAATAAACTTGTTGTTGTTGTTGTTTAAAACACAAACAACTTTTGGTGTAAAAACATCATAAAAAGAATTCAACATATTTTCACCTTTAAAATACACATACAATCGTTCAAAATATACTTCAGCTTTCCTTTTAAACACACTCCAAACATCCAACATGATTTTTTCTTTTTTAACCACAGTTCTTCTCTCCCATATTGCACTTTTCATTAACATGACACACAGATTAATAAAACTTTTGTTTTGACACTTCTTTCCCCACCCAAACATTACAACTCTGTTCCATTCCATTACATTTTCATCCCACTCCTCAGTCAAATCCTTAATTAAACATTTACATTTCTTTAAAAATTCCTCCAGCTCTTTACAATATAAAAACATATGTAAAATCCCCTCTTCCTTCTCCTGGCACACTTTACACATAGCATTTTGCTCAATTCCTATTTTGTTTAAAATTGCATCAGTAAAAACAACTTTATGCCTTATAAAATACTCCAAACATTCCAATTTAGTTTCCACACATCTTCCCTTCATGTTTCTCCATATGCTCTCTTTCTTTAAATCTTTGAAATTCTGCACCCAGTATGCATTTACAATCGGCTCCTTAAAAACATCATCTCTAAAAGAACAATAAATCATTTTCACAGTACATTCCTTAAAATCATTCAGTTTTCTGTCCAATTTCACATGAATACATTTCTCTTTTGGCTCCCCTTCCATACCTTCTATTCTTTTTATCCATTCTTTAGGTATTGCACTTTTAATTAATTCAAATTGGTTAATTATTCCTTGTTCACTGTAATCCTCTTTTGCCTCCTCCATTGCATCCACAATAAATTGTGTCGGTAAAAAGCCTTCTTTGAATTCATATAGAACATCTCTCACCCTTGTTATCCCCACTTCCATCCATTTCTTTAAAAACATTTCTTTCCCTTGCTTTAAAATGTTTTTGTTTAAGAACAGAGGTTGATTTAAAATGTTTTCTCTCCCATGTGGATCATACTCCACCTTGTCTAAAAATTTTCACCACGCACTAAACATTTCTCTATAAAAACCTGGTAGCCCTTCTGTCATCCAAATCTTCGTTTTCATCCATAAAATTCCATCCCCCATGTTAAAATTCTATACAAAATAAAAATTAAAAATTAAATTTTTAAATTTTTAAAAATTATATAAAATTAAATTCCATTCTGCGTTACCCTCTTCTTGTAGATATTTTTTCACAGTTTTGACTCTCAAGCTATTTTTCCTTTGTGCCACATCCATTAACCCTAAACCCCCCTTGTCTGCTTCCCCTAAAATC